TGAACTCTCCGTTGACTCTGGAACTAGTGACACAGATGATGACAAACATAAGTGAGTTCTTCTTTCTTCTGTCTTTCTTTCTCTTTAGCAGAATAATGAAAAGTCAGCAAAATTTGATGTTAAGGTTTAAAAGCTTTTTCATAGTTTTTGATTAATGGTGTTCCATTTTATAAATCACTAGCTGGCCTACGAATATGTTAGTGCGGAATTAAAAAAAAACTTAATTAGTAACCTATGTGTTCTCCCAAACTATGTTCTATATGCCAAATTCTATTGAGGTCCGTTCAGCCGTTCTGGAGATACCTTCAAACATCCATTCATCCATCCATCTATTTAAACATTCGCATTTATAATATGAGTAAGATTAATATATCTCAAATATGCTATGATATATATTTTGACATTTAAATTATATTCAATGTTATATTTCAGATCGACGGTGGGCAATAAATCAAACACAAACCAGAATCAGTTACGATTGTCTGGATGCAGCACCAAAGTCAGTAAGAATCATTTGCTCCTCCATTTTGTAAGCTTTCATTTTTACCACATCTCTGTTAACCCCAAAACGCGTAGTTATTGCAGCGTGCGAACGCGAAAATGCTTCAAAATTTTATTCATTTAACTAACCAAATGCATATGAACACTAATGTCACCCTTAGTGTAGATTTTTCATATTAAATGTACACTAAAGGTGTCATTAGTGTCCAATTGAATGACAAAGTTAGTGTCTAATTTACAATAAATCACATTTTATACAGGATGTCAAAATCAAAGTAAAGCATTTGGAATAAAATTTTGCGACACCCCGTATAGTAACGAAATTAACATAAAGTTATTGTATTGTAATATTTAATTTGCTTAGTTTTGTTTATTATTAATTTTATTTTAATGTATTTGTGTTATGTTTTATGTACATTGTATATCATTATATTTATAACCGTAAAAACTAGTAAAATGGTTTTTAAACCATTGCAATTTTTGTTAATTTAATCTTTTTTACAGGGTCCATCGCGAGAAACTCTTACTCTAAAAGAGAAATTGAAACGGAAAATGCAAGCTCAATTATCAAAGCAATGTGAGTTATTTTCACAATTAAGGCATTTTTTTACAAAGTTCTGAATAAGCTATTTGAAACATATTTGTTAAATAAAATCCTCTTTGGTGTGAAAATGTAGCAAAGTATGGCTTTATCTCTTAATACAAATCAACTAACACAGCGGACTGAGAGATAGCAGAGTTAACTCATTCCATGTAAATTCGCCTGAACTTTCCAGGAATGGACTTCTTCATTTTATGCTGTACTAGCTGTTGCCCGCGACTCTGTCCGCGCGTAGAATAATTATTTTATACACATGCCAAATTACATCGAGATCGTTTCAGTTGTTTTGGAGATACCTTCAAACAAACATCCATCCATCCATTTTAACATTAGCATTTATAATATTATTAATAAGACTAATTAAAAAAAACTAATAAATATGTTGATGTGATGAAAAATGTTGCAGTGCGTGCTGACAAGCGCGCTGAGGCTGAGCG